CAGGGGCTGGGCGCTGACAGGGGGGCGCAGGGCTCTCCCCTCGGGGCCAGGGGCCGGGTGCTGACAGGGGCGCAGGGCTCTCCCCTCAGGCCAGGGGCTGGGCGCTGACGGGGGGCCGGGCTCTCCCCTCGGGGCCAGGGGCTGGGCGCTGACAGGGGGGCCGGGCTCTCCCCTCGGGGCCAGGGGCCAGGAGCTGACAGGGGCGCAGGGCTCTCCCTTCAGGCCAGGGGCTGGGCATGGACAGGGGGGCTGGGCTCTCCCCTCAGGCCAGGGGCTGTGCATGGACGGGGCGCAGGGCTCTCCCCTCGGGGCCAGGGGCCGGGCGCTGACAGGGGCGCAGGGCTCTCCCCTCAGGGCCAGGGGCCGGGTGCTGACAGGGGGGCCGGGCTCTCCCCTCAGGGCCAGGGGCCGGGCGCTGACAGGGAGGCCAGCTCTGCCCTCAGGGCCAGGGGCCAGGCGCTGACAGGGGCGCAGGGCTCTCCCCTCTGGCCAGGGGCTGGGCGCTGACAGGGGGGCCGGGCTCTCCCCTCAGGCCAGGGGCCGGGTGCTGGTGAGAGCCCGGCCCACCTGTCATCTCCCCCCAGGGGACCAGGGGTGTCACTGACCTGCCAGCTGGGGTAACGGGGGAGCGCTGCTGACCCACCCGCTGGGGGACCAGGACTGACACCGACCTGACAGCTGGGGTAAAGGGGCGGGTGCTGATGACCCACCCGCCGGGAGGCCAGGGGACATCACCGACCTGTCACTGTGATGTTGTAGAAGACGGAGTCGCCGCCCGCGTCGCACACAAACTCCCCCGTGTCCTGCGGCCAAGCCGAGGGGATGATGAGCCTGTGATGGGGCCCCTCGCACTCCAGGAGCAGGTGCTCGCCCTCCTCCACCTCCACCCCATCCTTGTACCACTGCACCAGGCCGTCAGCACGGGACAGCTCACACGCCAACACCACGCGCTCTGAGGCCAGGTAGGTGTGCGCGGCGTCCTCGTTAGAGCTGACGATCCTCACGGGCGGCTCTGGGCGGGGAGACAGGATGGGTTCAGCAGAGAGGCTGCCAACTGGGTCACTCCCAGCCAGCCACCCGCCTATTCTCCAAGGCAGGATGCCCAGTAAGAGGGTGAGGAAGTGACCCCGGGGTCAGCTGTCTGGGGGAGATGCAGAGCCTAGACTGGCCATCCCTCATCAGGTGGGGATGTGGCTCATTCTGCGTTAGATGGAGCCACAGAGTCGCTTGCATTCTCCGTGTCGGGGGGAGCTGCTGTTTCTCTCCCTAGGGCCCAGCTCCCTGCAGTCACCACCGTGGCAGGGAGAGCCAGGGCTCAGGACTCTGAGGATCTTCATTTACCTTCAAAGCTGAGCTGTGTCCGCAGGGGCTGGCTGGGCAGCAGGCTGGTCCCCCGCTGGCCGCACAGGGACCAGGAGTCAGAGCCCAGGCCCTGCTGGGTCTGACAAGTGCCAGCTCTCGTAATGCACCGTCGAGCCCAGACGCTTCACTGGGGTCGAAGGCAAAGGCAGCGCTGGATACAGGATCAGCCCCACAGAGTGACTGGCCAGGCAGCACCTCAGGGCAGAGACCCCGGCTTCCTACCTGAGTGTAAGGCACAGCCCCCCCAGCGCTGCCTGTGGGCGTTAACCCTGCTCCCAGGGAGGGGACCATCGCCCAGCCCCCAGCTCACCGGTCACAGTCACCGTGAAGCTCAGCACATCCTCGCCCGCGTCACACGTATACGTCCCGGAGTCTGAGGGGCGGGCAGAGCGGATAAACAGCCTCCTGGCGCAGCCCTCTGCCTGCAGGGCGACGATGTCGTCCGAGGGCACAGCCTCCCCATCCTTGAGCCAGCGCACAGGGGCGTCGGGCGTGGAGACCTCGCACTCCAGGAGCAGGGGCAGCCCTGCCAGGAGCTCCCGGTGGCGCTGGGCCTCGGGCACCGGGGCGATGCGCACCTGCGGGGCTGAGAGACCAGGTTCTTTATCACCATGAGTGCGGCAGCACCCTCAGAGGCAGAGCAGGCCGTGGTCCCAGCCCCACGGAGCTCACAGCCTGAGGCCGTAGGAGCACTGTGGGTGGGGTGACATTGCTACACACACTAACAGCCCGCAGGCCGCACTCCCAGGCTGGAGGGGACAAGCAGCCGAGGGCGGAGCAGTCACATGGTGAACCGAGGAGAGGAGGTGGTGGTTTAACAGACTGGCTGGAGTGGGGGGCAGAAAGCAGGGAACTGGGAAAGGGGCATGTGGGCCGGCCAGGAGGGAGGGGGCAGAGCCGGGCAGGGAGGCCTGGAGGGAGGGGGCTGAAGAGTGAGGAGTAGGGGGACCAGACAGCAAATGTGAAAAATCGGGACAGGGGGACGGGGGTAATAGGAGCCTATATAAGAAAAAAAACCCAAAATTGGGACTGTCCCTATTCACCCTAGTGAGGAGATAGGTGAGGATCCGCCCAGCGTCTGTGTCTAGCAGGGGTTGCAGGGTGTCTGGGAGGCTGCAGAGCAGGAGGGGGCAGTGACCTGGGGGGAGCCTGGAGGGAAGCATTCGCCATGTGACCAGAGGATCTTGCTAATTTCTACCAAGAGAAAGCTGGCGAAATGTGACCTGCCCTTCCCCCTCCCCTCAGCTCGCCTGCCCCTCCCATAACTCTCCCTCCTCCTCCCCAGTCATACAGAGTCTCTGCTCTCCTCCTCTAACCCCTCCACTTGTGCCCAGGACCCCATCCAATCCCATCTCCTGGTCTCCCTGAACCCCCCTCCTCCCTCCGCTTCTCACTCTCCTCTGGCTCTTCGCCTCACAACACAAAGTGCCAATCGCTCCCATCTTAAACACCCGCCTGCCCCACTTGCCTCTCCGACTATCGCCCCGTCTCCCTTCCTCCCCAAGCTCCCTGCACACACTGGAGTTCCTCTCCTCCTGCTCCGTCCTAGACCCTCCAGCCCAGCTCCCACGCCCGGCACGCCACAGAAACTGCTCTGGCCCAAGTCTCTAGTGACCCCTTCTAACCAAGGCTCAGGACCAGCCCTCCATCCTCATCCTCCCAGACCTGTCAGCCACCTTCACACAGCCGGCCATGCTCCTCCTCTTGGCTTCCCTGATTCTGGCCTCTCTGGGTCTCCTCCTCCCCCTCCAACCGCTCCTTTGGAGGAGCCTCCAGACCCAGGCAACAGCCAGGGGTTGCACAGTTCTGAGTCTGTGCCCAGGGACATGCCCAGATGGGCTAAGACCTTGCTGGCAGCCACGGCTATTGCGGGCTGGATGGATGGAAAGTATTCCCAGAGTTATGTACCGCAGACTATGTGTTCCAAAGTTGCTGGAGGCCAGACAGTCCCTGGGGCGGGGAGTTTCTCAGAGCTCGGAGTGAGAACAATTGACACCTTTCCCCCAAGCCCAGCCAAGAGTTTACAGGCCAGACAAGATGTGGTCTTGGGCCATCACACAGCACTAAAGAGCCCAAGAAAAAGACCTGGAACAGGGGGCCATCAGGAGAAAGAAGGCACAAGACTGTATGCTCTGCCAGTGGGAGTGTCTCATGAAAAATGTGGACCCCAGCTCTCTGGACTGGCCCAGCGCTGGCCAGATGAGCAGTGGGTGAGAAACACCTTCTCAGACAGGAAAGGAGCTTAAGGACATAAAAATGGCCACACTGGGTCAGACCAAAGGTCCATCTAGCCCAGTATCCTGTCTTCCAACAGTGGCCAGTACCAGGTGCCCCAGAGGGAATGAACAGAACAGGGAATCATCAAGTGATCCATCCCCTGTCGCCCATTCCCAGCTTCTGGCAAACTGAGGCTAGGGACACCATCCCTGCCCGTCCTGGCTAATAGGATGGATGGACCTATCCTCCAGGAACTTATCTAGTTCTTTTTTGAACTCTGTTATAATCTTGGCTTTCACAACATCCTCTGGCAAGGAGTTCCACAGGTTGACTGTGCAGTGTGTGAAGAAATACTTCCTTTTTTTTGTTTTAAATCTGCTGCCTATTAATTTCATTGGGTGACCCCTAGTTCTTGTGTTATGAGAAGGCACAAATAACACTTCCTTATTTACTTTCTCCACACCAGTCATGATTTTATAGACCTCTATCATATCCCCCCCTTAGTCATCTCTTCTCCAAGCTGAAAAGTCCCAGTCTTATTAATCTCTCCTCATACGGCAGCCGTTCCACACCCCTAATCATTTTTGTTGCCCTTTTCTGAACCTTTTACAATTCCAACTTTCTAACAGGTAGTACAGGCTCCGGGGGGTGCTGGATCTCCTGGCTCTGACCCAAGCCCTACCCCACCTCTTCCTGCCCCCATCCCACCTCTTCCTGCCCTGTTCCACCGCCTCCCTCGAGCACGCCTTGTCCTCGCTCCTCCCCCTTCCCCCCCAGAGCCTCCAGCTGATCGCGGTGGGCGGGAGGTGCGGGGAGGGAGGGGGAGATGCTGATCGGCAGGGCCCACCGGGAGGTGCTGGGGAGAGGTGCTGATAGGAGGGCTGCCGGTGGGTGCTCAGCACCCACCATTTTTTCCCCGTGGGTGCTCCAGCCCCGGAGCACCCATGGAGTCGGTGCCTATGGCGGGTTGTGTTTTAATTTGGTCTGTAGCCGGGTGTTTCCAGCCCGTCTCTTGGCTTCTGTCTGAATCTCTCTGCAGCTTTGTCAAAACCCCTGTTTGGTTTTACTGCAGCCCCGTCCAAGTGCTGGGTGCTGAGGACAGGGCTGAACAGAGGGAAGCTAGTGAACGGGGGCCCTGCTTGCACAGAGGCAGTGAATCTGTGCATTCTGGGGGCCAGGAGTGGAGGCCTGGGCACTGGGGGGGGGGGGTGCGCAGTGGGGAGCACAGACAGGCTGGAAGGACCTGTGCCAAGCTCAGGGGGTAACAATCTCCAGAGATTTAGTGACAGGTTCTCTCTGTGCTGCCCAAGGCCTCACTCAGGGGGCCAAGGGCTGGGGGTGCGAATGGCTGGCCTGCGGAGGGAAGAGCGGGGCTCACGGAGCCCGGAGGGGGGCGCTCATGTAGCCAGCAGCGGTCGTTTGGGGCAAGTTTCCCCCAGTGGGCTCCCTCGTGCTGTGAGCAGTAGCGAGTCACCTTGGGTAACCCCGAAAGTGTCACACCCACTCCAGCTTCTTGGGGGAGTTCCACAGGGCTCTGGCCTTGGTCCCCCCACCGGGTCCCTGGGTTCATCTGCAAACACAAATTCCACCCCCCCCACCCCGTGCTGACAGCTCACAGCCCCACCTCCCACTCCCCAGCCGAGTACTTCCCTCCAAACTAAGATCTCGGCGTGGGATCTGACCTCTCCCAGGGGATGTCTAGCCCTCAGCTCGAATCCAACATAGCTACAATGGGTTCTTCATGCCCCAAGCCCTCCTGCTGCCTTACTTCTCAATCTCTGTGGGAGGCATCCAGGCCCGTAGCTTGGCATCAGCTTCGCCTTAGCCGGGACGTGAGGCCCTCGAGAGAAACCCGTGTCCAAATCCGGCTGATTCTGCCTGGATAGCGGCTCTAGAATATGGCCTCTCCTACCCACCCACACAGCTAACCCTCGTCTCGCTGTCACTGCAACAGCCTGCTCTCCGGCCCTGACGACTGCGTCCCGCCCCACTCACCTGCTGCTGCCACGGTCATTTTCCTGGCCTGTCACTGGGGCCATATCCCCCCGCTTTTATTCTCTCCGCTGGCTCCTCCTTCTCCATCACACCAAACGGAAGCTGCTTGTCTCACTTCCAAGGCGCTTCTTGGCCTGTCCCCACCTCCCTCTCACTGGCTGTCGACTCTTCCCTCCGATCGGCACATGGTGCTTCCACTGCCCACCAGTTACATTTGCAAACAAGCCCCTTTGTGCTTCCTCCCCGGCTGCCCCTCCCGCCTGGGCAGTGCTCCCAGAAACAGCCGCAAGGCGACCTCATTATCCACCCTCTCCAGACTCTCCTTTGCCGGGATGCCTGCGAACAACATGCCGATGGCTAGGCTTCTGGTGAGCAACGGCCACTGCCCATCATGCTGCCCATGCTTCCATGTGCTCCCCCGTCCGTCCATCCATCTCCTGGCTCGTACTCGACCTGTGAGCCCCTTTGGGAGGCACTGCCTGTGACCTGTGTTTGTACCACACCGAGCTGAGGGGGGCCTGGGCCATGACGGGGGCTGCTGGCACTACGAGGGGGGGGGGGGGGGGGGGGGGGGGGGGGGGGGGGGGGGGACGGCTCAGTGGGGGCAGCCAGGGCTGGGAGGAGCTGACACCGACCTGTCACCGAGATGTTGTAGAAGACGGAGTCGCCGCCCGCGTCGCACACAAACTCCCCCGTGTCCTGCGGCCGGGCCGAGGGGATGACAAGCCTGTGATGGGGCCCCTCGCACTCCAGGAGCAGGTGCTCGCCCTCCTCCACCTCCACCCCGTCCTTGTACCACTGCACCGGGCCGTCGGCACGGGACAGCTCGCACGCCAGCACCACGCGCTCCGAGGCCAGGTAGGTGTGGGCGGCGTCCTCGTTAGAGCTGACGATCCTCACGGGCGGCTCTGGGCGGGGAGACAAGCTGGGCTCAGAAGAGAGGCTGCAGGCTGGGTCACTCACAGACAGCCGCCCGCCTATTCCCCAACACAGGGAGGAGAGATGAGAGCCCAGCCCCTCCAGGACATCCGAGAGGGTGTCGCTCCCCATGGCTGTGTCACACCTGACCCTCTTCCCACAAGGCAGCACCATCCCACCCAGGACCAACAGGACACGCCCCTGTGCGCTCAGGCCTTCCTGCGGACCGACCTCGCCAACCCCACACGCTAGAGCCGGGTTAGAGCAGTTCACGGAGGGGAGGCTGCAAGGGACAACCCATGGGCTGCAGGGAGGGAGCGGGGGTTCAGCAGGGGGCGCTCTCCCCTGGCAGTCAGCGCTGGCCCCAATGCCCCAGTGCAACGCTAGGGGCCTGTGATGCAGGGAGTGGGGCAGGATGTCAGTAGGGGGCGCTCTCCCCTGGCAGTCAGCGCTGGCCCCAGTGCCCCTGTGCAGCATGAGCGGGCGCTGTGCTGGAGGGAGCGGGGTGGGGGCTCCGTACGGGGGACTCTATCCCTTTGCAGTCAGTGCTGACCCCAATGACCACCATCTTCCTTACGAGACCCAAAGCTTTGGCCCACTAAATACAGCCAGAAAGAAATCATCAGGGGAGCCCTGCTGACCCACCCGCTGGGGGACCAGGGGTGTCACTGACCTGCCAGCTGGGGTAACGGGGGAGCCCTGCTGACCCACCCGCTGGGGGACCAGGGGTGTCACCGATCTGCCAGCTGGGGTAACGGGGGGGCGCTGATGACCCACCCGCCAGGGAACCAGCGGTGTCACCGACCTGCCAGCTGGGGTAACGGGGGGGCGCTGCTGACCCACCCGCCAGGGACCAGGGGTGTCACCGA